CATGTCGTAGGGCATGGAGGCGACGCATTCCATCTGGATCGGCGCAGTGGGCTCAAGCGCGCAGTGCTACCTGAACTCCTCGCTGTGTGGTTGGTGGGGGTGGTGGTGCTTGCGTCTGCTGCGCTTCGTGGGTGGTGCCGGCCTCGTCTACTTCGGGCCCCGGCTTGGCTCGGCGCTTGTTCTTCTTCTTCTTTTTCTTCTCGGTCTTCTTGTCCTGCTCCCCCGAAGTCCAGGCCATAAGCTCATTGAAGCCTGCATTCGGGTCGGCGTTGTCGTCCAGATCCGTGGTCGCTGTCGCTGGCAGGGAAGGTGCTGGTGTCCCCGATGCCACTTCTGCGGTGGTGGCGGCATTGCTTGGGGAGCTGCTACTGCCACTGCTACTGCTGCTTGTACTGGGTGTCCTCGCTTTGCCCCCCTTCTCCTTGGTCTCGCTGCTCGACGGTATTTTCCCCCTTTCTGGGGTCCCTGGCTCTCTTGCCAGGGTTCCTTGGCCTTCACTGGCAGTCTTTGTTGGTGCTAGCTGCCTTGTACTGGTAGAAGTGCTCGCTGGAGTGCTCCCGGCTGGTTGTGTGGAGGGCGTCCGGGTCGGCATGCTGGTAGTAGTGCTCGCTGCCGTGCTCTTGGTTGATCGTGCAGAAGGCGGCCGAGTCAAGGTAGTGCTCGGGTTCGGGTTTTCGGGCCCCCGCTGTGGCAGTGCTCTTTGTCGACGAAGGTAGGCGAGGGCCTCGCCACCGTTGCGGGCAGCAGATCCGTAGAAGATGCATGCCGGGTCCGTTCGGGTATGCCCCCCGTGCCAGCTCGGGCCTTGGAGGCACCGCCGGCACTTCGGTCCCTCCATCTGCGATGTCATTCTCCGCGAGGTTTGGCAGGTCGGTGAAGTCGGGGTAGGTGCCTCGTCCGTGCCGTGGAACTTCGGGCCGGCGCGTCGTGTACAGCTTCTACTCTGCTTAGAAGGGGTTTTGAGCCGAAACCTGGCTTCCTCTTGTAAAGGGGGGAAAAGCGGCATGCAGCTTCCCAGCTCGAATCCCCGCTAAATGTTCCATTTAGCTCAGCCAACTTTTGTTCCAAGGCGAGCACTCTACTCACGAGTTGTGTCGTCCCAGTTTCGGCCTGGGCCATCACGCCCCCTAGCTCTCATCCTGTTTTACAGTGAGCTGAAGGATGTCGTGGAGAACGTTCTGCAACCGTGCTGAGGTCCCGTGCTTGGAATTGTGTGATCCGTTCACTCACTGGGGTGATAGCATCCCAGATCCAGCTTCGGGTCTCCTGACTAAGTCTAAGTTGCTGTTTCGCGAACCCCTGCTGGAGCTCACCGCGCAAGGCCTGGACGATGGTGGTGCTGAGGAAGTTGGGGGTTGGCTAGGTGTCAGTAGGGTCGTCTTGCTGGGGCCCCTGCTGGCTGTCACCGCTTCATTTGGCGGCGTCACAGCTACGCTTCCAGGTTCCATGGTAGAGTGCATTCGCGGTCGGGTTGCCATGAGCTCAGTCATGTAGGTGGTGGCGTCCCTCACCCAGTGTTGGAGGCCCGGCGGGTCGGCTCGAGCAGGTATAGAGGACGAGCAGAGTCGGCGACTGCCGAGTTAAAGTTGTAGGTAAATTCCCCCGCTCGCCTGCCAGCGCCGGTGCCGTCGTGCTCCGAAGTTGCCTTAAAGCGGTGGGCTCGGAGTGGCGTAGGGCAGCAGACTGGTAGGAGAGCTCGAATGGCTTGCTTAGACTCGAGGGCCGGGCCTGTTTGATCTTGAGCCCAAATGGCTACGGTGTGGTCTCTCTCTTCTTCTACCGGGCATAAGGGGCGGGTCAAGCCCCCCGGCCTCATGGGCCCCCCGTATGTTACAGGGCTTTCGGTGGGGCGTGAAAAACCCGCGGGTTCCCCCAGTCTAGTTAGGCGAAAATATATTGCGTCTATCACGGGACTGGGTTCTTCCGGTCTCTCTTTCTTTCGCCAGGGTTATGGTGCAGGGGGGTTACCCCCTACACCGCGCGCGAGTGCGCCCCCGACTGTTGTGGGGCCAGTTGATTAGATGCAAGTCCCGCGGTTCGGGACGTGTGGTAAATCACGAGCATCCCTCGGCAACTGGAATCAGGGAAAGTTACGAAGGGTTGGAAGAGCATACATAAAGGAGATGGCACATGGAGTAGGCAATAATTCCAGTAAGGGGTTCTTCCCCATTGCCTGTGGGTTCGTTGGTTCTGCATGAGGCCAACACGAAAAGATCCTAACAAACTGTCCTGAGAACCAAGTCATTGTTGGTTGGCTCATGCTAACCGGAGTGACATTTCTGCTCTCCCTTATTCTGGCTTCACAAGGGCAGCAACACTCAGCAATACGAGGAACAGACAAACCATAGAGAATCACAGGACGCCAGGCAGTTGGGAGAGAGCTGTTTCAAGTCTGAGGCCATACTGTTACTTCCCAGAAAAGCGTCAGAAATGCGCGAGGGCCGCTAATTAGCTTACAAAGTCGGATCCCGTTGATGCGGGGGAGGGTATCTTCGAGGAAACTGGAGGCTCCGGCGGCCCGTCAAAAGTGTATTTCACAGAACATTGAGGCAAGGGGCAAGCACTGCAAGCCCACCCCTGGTAGCAAAGGTTAAAAACCCTGCAAGTATGCGGTATTGAAGTCGAAAGGCGAGATACACATGCAAGCGGCCCTGTAAAAGTTCTGCAAAAACTGCTCTTGCATCGGCGCTCAAAGACAGGTTAGCAGTCTAGCAAGCACAGCGAACTTCTCTGAAGACTGCCTGTGGGATGAGGTCTTTGAACTAGGGCTGGGGATTTTCCCCGCAGCAATAGCGCTCACTTGTTGCCTTTCGCCTTGCCCCAGTACTTCCACTCTCTCTTCGTGCCTTTATCCGGTCTCTCTCTCTCTCTCTCTCTCTCTCTCTTCTTCCTCGCAGCCAAGGGAGAACACGTCCGTGAGCCCCGCGCGCATTACCGCTCTCTCTTCTTCCACACAGCCAAAGAAGGTAGCGTCACCACTCTCTCTCTTCGCTTCGCTTCGCAGGGGAAAGGTCCACTAGGTGGACCCGCGCCTAGGCGCCCCCTTCCCCATTTGAGTGGTGGAAGGAGCTTTGGGGTCTTCAACGGTGGGGGTTGTTCCCCATGAACTTTAGCCCGCGTCCTGGCCTCGTCACCGCGCCCCCTAAGGCAAAATCCTTATTCCCTCGCCGAGCAAACTTCCCCACGTAAGACGAAACAAGTGGCCCCGTCTCGGTACACCCAAGCGACTAGGCTTGCTTGCTTGCTTGCGAAGGGGTCTGGGTGCATGCACCCCGGTCCGAGGGCCAACCCCCCCACGGCTCGCAACCGTCCAATGTCCTCGCGGCCCCTCTCGGGGTGGGTTGACCGGCACGGTTCCCCGTCCCCCCAACCGAACCTGCCAAGACCGTTACCATCAGAACCCAAGCGACTAGGCTCTCTCTCTCTCTCTCTCTCCCGGGCTTGGGGATGGGTCAACATCCCCGGGCCATTCAGGCCCCCCCGCTGTGTTAGCGGATTGAAGGGGAGTGAGGAGTGCTGTCAATCCTGAGCATAAGGCTAAAGCCGTTACATTGCATACATAACAATGCCTCAGGATGTTACAGCATTCGAACACGTGCTAGAACATCCCCCGAATCCACAGCGACTGTGTAGGAGTAAGGCAAGCTAAGAATGCCAAAGAAGTTGTCGCTGTGATGTCTAGAGGTGTTCCCCTGGACCTCAGTTGCCCAAATTTGCTTGAACACAAAGTAAAGATTCCCTCGGGCTGCACCTGTGTCTTCGAAAGGTGATGCCGATGGATTCCCCCGCTCTTTATGTCAACAATTGCACAGCAATCACTCCCCGGCCTAAGGGCAGTACCATATGTGCTTCACGTATGGGGTTCACCATCTCTCGGGTTGCTCGAAAAGGGAGGTTGGCAAAACGTAACACCGGATGAATTAGCACACCTCCTAAGTATTTGCATCTGAATTGAAATCGAGTGCGGCAGGCGGTTTGAAAGTTTCGGCCACAAGGCCTCAAGAAGTGCATCTGAATTATTATTGCGTTCGGCAGGCGGTTTTGAGAGTTGGGGAACAAAGCCCCTTTAATATACAGCTAGGCGTTGCAGGTCGGCAGCGATCCTAGATTGAAACTCGGATTGAAGTAAAGCTTGCAAAGCATCCCCCGGTGTTGGGAATCAAAAACTTAGGGAAAGCGGGAGGGTTCCCCCGAAGTCCAAACCACAACCCAACCAAAGACTAAAAGGCCTCACAAACACACACCGATCCAGCTTTCCCCCCTGCTTCGGAAGTACTGGTGCATACGAATTTTGCCCGTCACTGCACGAGGCTCAGCACTCATCACGTCTCCCCCATGTAGTCTCGCTCACGCTTCTCGTTGTAGTTTGCGTTTTTTCGGGGTTTTGCCAGACGTTTGCATCCCCCCGGTAGCCTCAGTGTTCTTCTCTTCGTCGTCAGGCACGGGTGGCGTCATGGCCGGGGTATTCCCCGCTTCCCCCCAACGGTTGAGCACATCTGAGCTGGAAGTTGGCACGTGTAGGCCAGTAGCAGTGTCCCCCCATCGGTCCACTGCATCTTCCCACAACCCCCTCATACTCCGCCATTGCTGTAGGCAAACTTTGTGATCTCGTCCCCCGTGCCACTTGCTCAAACTTGTAGTAGGCGGCGTTCCTCTCCCAGCACTCAAGTAGCTGTGGATCGGGTCCCCCGACGGCTTTTGCACGAGGTCGATGCTGAGGTCTGTGAGGTCGCTTGCTGTCGCGCCCTCGTAGAAGTTCTTGCAGTGTAGAGGTCCCCGGCTTTGAGAAAGTTCGTGCGACCGTGCTCCTGAGGTCGGATGGCGGCGTGCGGTCGCACGGGGTTTCCCCTTCCTGTGACGGGGGGCTCACTGCAACTCCTGACCTTGAGCCAAAATGGCTATCTCTCTCTCTCTCTCTCTCTCTCGCAGGGCTACTGTTGCCTATTTCGCACCGCATTGCACCAGTCCGGACCGGCCATTCGTCTTTTTTGGCAGGGCACTCGACCACGAAGGTTGAGCGGAGCTCTGCTTCGGTGTTCAATCGCGCAAAGGCTGCAAATCCGTCTTCCATGATGTAGTCCCGGCCTAGGACACTCTGCGTCCATTCGACACCAGGGAGAGATTGACATTTGTCTTTCAATTTTTGGCTCTGCGACAAAACAGCTGACTCACGGCAAGCTGCGAATTCGGTGTTTCCGCAAAGATGCACGTGCCCAGTCGGCTCGGGTGTCTTCGCGCTGCATCTGCACAGAAATTGGGTGTTTCCCGCGGTTCTCTCTTGATGCAAGTGTTGCGGTCTTACAAGCTGTTGGAGAGACAGGTCTACAAGGCGTGTCCTTGTCGACCCGGATCATCGCTTGCATGACTGCCACTCCTTACCGACAGAACACGGAAGACGCAGGATATGCTCGAGACTTATCACAGCATGTGACACGATGATCGGGACACCTTGGTTGCCCTTGCGGTGTGGACAACATCAAACTGTGCACGCTCTTCATCTCTCTTCCAGGCATCGCACGGTCTTCGAATGGCACCATCTGCGGAGCCTGCATAGGTTCTGCTTGGGGGACCGTGTGACACCCCATGTCCTTCAACCACTTGTTCGTTCTCTCGATGCATCAATTGAGATTTTGCCTTGACTCCTTTCCGAATGTGGATGTGTTGCACCGACGATCCCATACAACGGCCCCTATGCTGAGGTAACAAGTGAAGGAATGAAGGATGCTTGCTGTTGAAGCAACTGTGGCTGCGTATTCTTGGCTTTCTGGCATAAGGTCAGGTGACGAACTCTCCCTCGGCGACGCATGAATGCCACATAGACATATACACTCTCGCAACTCGGGCAAGCCAGACGAGGTCTCGGGGTACATATGCATATGCATGTACATATACATATACATATACACATATACATACATACATACATAAATACATACATACATACATACATACATACATCCATCCATCCAGCCATCCATGCATACATACATACATACATACATATATATATATATATACATTGTACATTCATCGGGAAGCAAAGACATGACTGGACGCGAATCGGACAGTGCCACACTTGCTTGTCGTATGTTCTCCTTCGTACCTGTCTGCAGTCCTCTCGAGAATGATCCTTCGTTTACTCTCTGCTGCTCGTGGGCAACACAACAATCACCTCCCTCACTCTGGGCGTCTGGATGACGCTCTTCTTTGTGAACAACAAAACCAAATGGCCTCTGCCAGCGCCACTTCCAGCAGTTTCGCTGAGGCTGCCTCCATAGTCTGGGGTGCTTCACAAGGCGCGTCTGCGCTCTCGTTCCTGGCTTGCGAACACAGACTCGAGGTTCAGTGCACTGCAGGCCTACACAACCGGCAATCCCCCTCTTTTCTGCGGCCGCGCAACACACCAAGGGAGGCCGACACATTGGCAGAGATCTCAAGAAAATTCTTGTCCTGGTGGTATGTCTCTGCTTCTCTTGCTCCGGCCCCCAGTGACTCAATGTGTTTTGCTTGGGTCGCCCATCTGTGCACGAAACCACATATAGAATGCAAAGGAGGCGTCCTGTAGAGCCGCACGCAGCTGTGGCACGAGCCACCTCAGCTCTCATCTGACAGGGAAATGCTTCGAAGCGTGACCTCCCAAACCTCCATCAACATATCAACTCTGTCTGAATTCACCATGGCGCGCCAAACCCAACAGCTTGAGTCCAGGTCACCAGGGCTTCCGATTCAGGCGTCGCGTGCGCTGGACCACCAACGACAGTACTTTGCTGACATGGACCCGCAATATCTGAGCAGGGACTTGTCAACTTCACTCGCGAGCAATCCAAAGAAGTCGCGGCCTGCGCCTGCTCGGAGAGGGGCCCCGGGTCCGGGCAGTCCCGGAACATTCGCAGAAGCAGATTGTTCAGGTGGGGCCTGAAAAGCGACTAACTCGCGGACTCGAGGTCCGATTCCCTACACCCCAGACCCAGAGTTCCAGGCCATATCCGGTCATGGTCAAAGCACGACCACCAGCCTCTCGCATCAGACACTCTTCGAATGAGACGGCGTCACAAACCTACTGGCCTTGAGGGCTGTCCAACTCTACATCGAAGGTGCTACGCAGCTTCTCATGGAAGAAGATGCACCAGGCCAGAAGCCTGATACTATGCATGCTTTCGTCTGGCATGGTTCGTCTGGCATGGGCTGTGGATGGTGCAGAATTGAGACTCCAAGAGGTATCAAGCAACGGAGCCCCGAAACTGCCTGATGGCTTCTGCGCTGCGGTAGGAGGGCGCATCAAGCTGCGACCAGCCGATGGTCATCGGTTTTATCTGCACCTTTAACACCGCGAAGGCTTAACATTGGCAAGTGAAGGCGTGAGTTGAACAGTGCCCGAGTGTTACAATAGAGTTGAGGTCCAGGACTTCTAATTGGGCCAAAAGGCCAGGATGTCCGTCTGAAACGTGAACTCCTGGCGCCAAAGCAGGGCTTGATGTAATCCGAGCCCGACATTCGGCCAGCCTGCAAGCGCCCCTGAAAGCGCACTCTGTCTCTCGTCTTTTTAAACTGGGAGCAAAAAGTCGGGTTAGGCACGAGCCTGTCTACAGTCCAGCTGCTTCCTGTACCTCAGTCGATGACCTCCTCCTCGTCGTCCTTCTGCTCATCTTTCTTCTCCTCCTTGGCCTCGTCCTTTGGCTTTTCGAACATATTGCGTCGCATCTCCACCAAAGATTTCTTGGCAGGCTTCTCCTCTGAGCCTGCTGATTCTGGCGCCTTGGCTGCATATCCACCTGCTTGTGCAGGGCTTGCACTGGATGTCGGTGCAGGCGCTGAGTAGCCACCGGATGCTGTGCTGGCTGCGCTGGGTGCCGCGGTGGCGGGCGCGGGTGTCGAGGACGCAGAGGCCGGGGTGACGATTTCGGGAGCGCCCGCACCTGCAGAGGCAGTGGCGGACGAGCTTGAGGCTGTTTCAGCCGCAGGGGCCGCAGGACTGCTGGCGGGATCTGTGGGCTTCTCACCAGCCCAGAAATCTTCAAGCAGGGGAGCTGCCACACCCTTGGCCCCGCTCACAACAGTGGTGGCGGTGCTGCCGACGAGGTCCACGGCGTCCAAGGCGGCATCCTTGAAAGTGGCGACGGCCCCTTTCTCACGGAAATCCTGCACTGTGCTGTGAATCTCGCTCTTCACTCCGTCAACCAACTGCATAACACTGCCACGTTGTTGAGGAGCTGTTTGCTCGCCCGTGGCTGCCTGTGCAGCCTTCGGCTCTGAATCTATTAGGGACATGGCTCCATCCACTGCCTTTCCAGCGGTGCTGCCGACAAGATCCACTGCCTTTCCAGCGGTGCTGCCGACCATGTCCACTGCGTCAAGCGCGGCATCCTTAAGCGTGCCTACAGCACCTTTCTGTCTGAAGTCTTGAACTGTGTCTTTGAATTCCTGTCTGATGCTGGCCAACAAGCCTGCATCCGTGGCTTCTTCGGCAGCTCCATCGGGGGCAACGTCAGTGGGGTACACCAGAACCAGCATGGTCTCGTCAATTCCATCCACCTTCACCTGCACGCGCGGAGGCTGCGAGACACCATCCACCTGCAACACTGTCGCCTCCATCACACGGCCATCACTGAACTGCAAAGGAGCGGTGGCCCCCCGCGCTGGTACTCCATCAAAGCGAAGCACTGCCGTAGGGTTGCCATCGCCATCCACGAGAGATTTGACGTTGCCAACCAGCCAAGAGCCTGCATCTGTTGCCATGTCTCGGGCATCCAGAGCTGCATCCCGCAGAGCACCAATTGCACCCTTTTGGCGGAATTCGTCGACGGTGCCCATGACTTCAGACCGAAGTGCGTTCCAAAGGCCAGCCATGAGTGCACGTTCGGACTCTGGCCGGCAGCACCGCAGGAAGCCTGTACCGCAAGCTTTTTGCTTGCGTTCAAGATCTAGGAGGGCCAATGATGCAAAAAGCTTTGAAGCTACTGGGCCCAACTGCGTCGGAATCATAAAGCCCTGCAGCCATGACGCACATCACAAATACAGAACAGTACGCTAGGTCCTGCATCGTGTCCGGATAGGTGACTGTCGGCTCCTGCGGCTTCGGCTTGTTCCATCCCTTACAGTATCCTCCCTTTATCTCGAGTCTTCCAAGAGAAGTCTTTCCAAGCCTCGTAGTAGAAGGACAAGACACGATCCAGCAGCCTCCAGCTTCAAGAGAAACACTCTGAGGCAAGTGCGGTGACTCTAGACAATGCACAAAACACGAGACTGGTGGACAAAGACTGCCAGGGTACTACCGTGGTTCCCGACTCCAGCACATTATGAACAGCTCTGCTGTGCACACACTTCTTCCGCTCATCAGGCAAGCACAGCCATCACTTACGTGCTGTTCATCATACTGCCGATGTCCGAGCATCCCACTTCGTCCCTCGCGCCACGCGGTATAGACGAGACACCAGCTGTTGGCTCCAAAGCTGATGACGCCACCGGGACTGCAGAAACGTGAACCGAGCAACCGGGATTACGAGTTCGGCTGTAGCTGTGTTGTAGCGATTGAACTCTTTATGCCTTCTGACACAGGGTCTGGCCACTCTCAGGCAGTGCTGTGCTGTCCTGCTTCGGGCCACCGGGTTTTGTGAAGAAGGAAGCCGGCAACTTAGCCTGGCCCGAAGACAACATGCGCTCGCCCTCGAGTCTTGCACGGGCATGTCATCGCTAAAGCTGCCGTGAGCTGACATCGCCTTTAGCCACATGAGCCAGCCCAGCACCTCCTCCGGCCTCAGGATCTTGCACTTTTTGAGGGCATTTCCACTGAGTCTCAGCCCAGCACGGCTCGCCCAGATGAAGGTAGCCCGGAAAGATGGAGCCTGCGTTGCCTGCCTGACGAGACTCAGGAGCGAAACGAGATGGGCCCAGGATGGCCCAGGGCTACGGGTACACCTGGGGCAAGACAAGGCTGAGCGAATGGCGAAGATCTCCATGCGCACGGTGGCTCCATCATGTACTTCATCTGCCTCACAGGAGCTCACACACCACCACGTGCGACTACGATCTGCGCTCGAGTCCTTGGTGAGCTTGAGAAATCAGGAAATGAAAGCTTGTTCGGATGACGGAGATCATGGAGTTGTCTGCGTTTGTGGGCCCGTACCATGTCATGAGATGCCATGATCCGGGTAAGTCGGAGTTGCGACTATGAGGCGCAAGTGAGAAGCTTTTACAAGCACTGCAAGCACTTCTAAGCCTAAGCCCTAGGCTAAGCCAAAGCTTCTGCACAGGGTCCGGCCTCCTCCTCAAGGGGCGGTGCATCCTCTTCCACGTTCGGCGGTGGGCCTAGTTTGAAGTGTCCAAGTATTGACCTTGGCTCAGTTAAGGAATTGCGAGCAGCACACCGTAGCGATGGTTCTGCAACATGCCTACTTTCACATACTTGGACTTCTTAACAAGCATCAGGTTGAATTCCCGAAAAGTCCCTTTTTGAGCACTTCGTGGCGTGCGTCGGTCAGAAGCCGAAGCGCCTGGTCACACCGCTCACTGGCCTCGCACGCTTGCACTCCAGCTTGAATTGTCAAGGCATTACCTTGCAGACCATGGCTGGCGAGATCAGCCAGCAGCATCAGCGTCTGCGGCCACTGGCTTGCCCGCTGACATGCAGACAGGGTCGAATTGAAGGAGATTAGTGTGGGTTGCAGATGTCTTTCACGGATCGAAGCAAGCAAGACGAGGGCCTGCTGCCACTGCGCTGCTTCACCAACGACTGCAATTGCAGAAACGTACGAGATGGCATCCGGCTGCATTTGACCAACCAGCTCGTCGAACAAAGCCAAGGTGCGCTGCCACTGCATTCCACTCTTGCCACAAAAACTTAGCAAAGCATTGTACGACACCAGTGTAGGCTGACACCTTGTTGCCGCCATGTCTGCCAGCAACTCCAGAGCAAGCTCCCACTGATCCCCCGCCTCACAAGCGCTAACCGTGGCATTGTATGTAACAGCCGTGGGGCTAAGCTGCTGGACACGCAGCTCGGAAAAAAGGAGAAGCGCAAGGACCCAGCTCTTGTCGAGGCGGCTGCAGGCAGATATGGTAGCATTGTATGTTATGGTGGATGCTCGCAACCTCTTCATCCTCACCTCTCGCAACATGTGGAGTGCTCTCTGCCACTCGCCAGCCTTGCTACAAGCACTGATGGCGGCATTGTAGCAAATCACATCGCTTCGGAGTTGGATGCAGCGAAGGCCTCCCAGCAGCTGCAGGGCTTGCTGCCACTGAGATGCCTTCTCACAGGCACTTATTGCAGAGCTGTATGCGATTAAGCTCGCATTGATGCTAGAGTCTTGCAAATCTTGAACCAGCTGCAGTGCACCATGCCAGCTCCCACCCCTCTCGCAAGCAGTAATCGCAGCACCATACGTAAAGTCATTTGCTTGTATTGAATGTTCCCTTGCATCTTCAAAGAGTTGCAGAGCTGTTCGCCACTGCGAGGCCTTTCCAACGGAGCTGATAGCAGTGCTAAAGGTAAAAACGTCTGGGCGCAACAGCCTGCCTCTAGCATCATCGATGAGAGAAACCGACTGCTGCCACTCACAAGCCTTCTCACATGCACTGACGACCTTGTTGTAGCTGATCAGGTCATGCTGCAAGTTTCGGCGATCGAACTCGAACAGCACTGAAAGTGCTGTTTGCCACTTCGCAGCTTTGCTGCATGCACCGATTAATGCCGACAACAGCACGGCATCTACGACACCACCCTCATCGAGCTCTTGGAAGAGCTTCAAAGCCGCCTCCCACTGCCCGCGCTTGCCATGAATGCTCACCGCTGTTGTCTTCTCACGCAAGTCCACATGCCCAAAGACGGGAGGCCTTGCAAGCCGACTTGCATGGCCTTGCATGCTGCATGCCTAATTAACCGATGTCTGCGGAGCCGGGCAGAAGGATTGGATTCACCCGTGCACTCCGACCCCAACCACTTCAACGGCCGAAGCAAAGGAAACTCTGCTGTGCCCCGCGCAGCACCTCCTCCGAGGTAACACTTTCCAGTGTTCGAAGGAGTATGGGTGCCTTGTCGCGGCAAGGAAGGGAAATTCCGCAATGCTTCGATGCGTTGCGACTGCCCATAAATGCGGACTATCCCTGCCTTCTTACACACAAGCTCACTTGTTCGCCAAGAAGCAGACAGAACCTGGAGAATCAAGCGCCGGCGAGTCTTTGCTTCCATTGTCCCGAGACCTCCGGCACGTCAGATGCAATGCAGGAAAACAGCGCAAATGAAGGCATGCATCAAGCCGAATGTGATTTCACATCTCCAGATCACAGATGTTGCTGTAGTGTGAGGCGCGGCATGTGGACAAGAATCTGGACACAAGACGTGCGAAACCTCGATTCCATGTATGTCAGCAGAAAGTGCCTAAACAGGCGAGTCTGAGCATGTCCATCTGGTAGCTGACAGGGGGTCTGATGTCCTGCACCGAAGACCAGTGAGGTTCGAGAATTGACGTCGGCACCACAATCCTAAACCGAGTCCTCCCAGTTCACATACCAAGAACCTTGTTCGAGGGCCCAGTCCAGAATCTGCGAAGGCAGCGCAGGTGTGGCAATGGGTCGTCAAAACTGAGCACCGAGTCGTGCAGCTGCAGCTGGTTGACAATCGATCAGACACCCCGTCATGCAAAGACCAGAAACCACACAGCATGTGGTCCCGGCATCTGTCTTCCTGAGCATGAACGCAAAGAATTGAGGAGATCCTCAGCTTGGTGCAACGACCATCGACTCGCTGGAGGTGCAGATGACAATCCTCTTGCAGCTAAACTGGAAACTGATCTTCTCCTGCATCCATGGCTTGATCGGATCCTTTTGCTACGATCTAGCGCCCACAGAAAAGTTGTGATGAGGTGCTCTCTGCGTGCCAAGGCGTGTTCGTGGCCGGGTCATAAAGCAGATCGCGGATGCGACTCCTCAGGAATGTACGACTGGAAGTTCACTGGTCGCAGCCGGGTCTTGACATCTACAAGCACGCGGCAGGATCTTGACAACCTCCAGTGGCACACACTGCTGCGTTAAAACCCAGTCTATACTGTTGCATGCTGGCTCTAGTTGATTATAAGTGTAAAGTGTAGAACATGTGCGCCATGTTCGTTAGGCCCGAAGGTTCAGCGCGCCCTGACGAACTCGCCCATGGACAGGATCGCCCTGAGCACCTTCCAACCTCGGTAAAGGCCGATGCTGCAGGTCAAGAAGCTGCAAACAACCTGCACACCTCTGCAATGCATCAATGCCAGGTCAACACCACCCCGCCACTGTCTTGCAAGGGTTCGTGGCAGCATGCTGGTGGATGCACATCTGTTGACAGCCTAGCCGCTCTGAACGAGTGTCGTCATTCTCGTCACCTCCTGCAGAGACGAGGAACTCTGAACGCATCCAATCGTGGATTTGGGCGACGTGCGACAGTTCTCTCGAAGTGGGCTGTTACGAAAAATGTTTCGCACTTGTGGCCGGTTGTCTCGTGAATTTGGCATCGGCTGCTTAGCAATACTGGCACCGTTCCCGCTCAAGCAGGTGGATGCGCTCCCGGCATCCCATGATCCAAAACCTTGTGCAGGTGTGCTATGTGATCGTGCAGGCGAGCATGACCCCAGGAGGAAGTCGCCCCACACATTGTGGCTCAAGTCTGATAAGGAAAATTAAGGTCTTGGCTTGGGGCTTTGACTCGGATGAGCCTTGAGGCCTCAGGATGGCCACAGTAGCGCATGCAATCATACAGACGACGCTCGGTGAGTCTGTGACCTGTGAGTGTCAAAAGATGTCAGAAGACATCTGCCGAGTCCCGTTCCTTCACGCTTCAGTCTTGTTACCTACACGCCTTCTCCAAACCTGGCTCATATACAAGACCTGGAGAGGTGTTGTGTAGAGCACATTTGTGATGATGGAGGACATGGGCTCGCCAAGGGCTTGGAGCCTGGCATGCCTCGCATGCATTTCTCAGTCATGCTCGGCTTGAGGCTTGTGCTCGAAGCACCAAGACACTCCAATTACCCTTTGTGATCTCCGCAAAATGTGTCGCGGATGCATCTCGGTTTGTCACATCCTAGAGGCCCGTCGAGCAGTCAATGCTGACGATGCTGAATGCCTTCCTGACGAGACAGTTCCACACTTACTGCCGCCAACTGGCCGCCTACTTTGCTGGCAGCAACCCCCTTAGAGCATCTTGGTGCCCACAAAAATCCGGCGGCATGCGCATGCTCGGAACGGCAGTCTCGAGCCTGTAGGATTGCCAACCTGCTGCTTTGCTGATATTGCAAGCGCTCCTCGTCTGCTATCAAGCCGGAGAAGTAATTGGTCGGCGCAGGTTGCTGGCTGGTGAACTCCATCAGCTTTACAATCCGGTACATCCGGTTTGTATCCTTCCAGGCATCCATCACAGTCATGAACTCCGAGGTTATTTAGCAACGACACAATGCCGCAATATCGGATCCCAGCACGATATCACACACATGATGTGAACCGCACTGGCTCGAGGCAGCTCCTGACCACGCCTGAAGAAGAAACCGAAGGGCCGAAGCCTGGATGGCTTGGCACCGCGCACAGATTTTGGTAGGAAGGCTGCCAGCCGAGTGGCAAGTAGTCTCGCAATGCTTTCTGTACAACTGGAGCTCTCATGTCGGGCGGCAACCTCCACTCGACCTGCCACAGCCACATGCGCCGAGGAGTGAGCTTTTTCTTCAGCGATGATCAGCCTGCTCCACGTCCTCCAGGCGCGCGTCGAAGAGAGCTCGCTGCTCTCGACAAACGGCCTCTGCAGCACTCACACTCGCTCATCATGCCACACTTTGCATGGGGTCCACAGCTTCCAGTGAAGCCTCGCGTACTTTGCCGCGTTTCCAGTTGGCCTTGGGTGGCTTGTGGCTGACGTTCCACTAAGCAAAAAACGAAGGACGAACCTGTGAGTCGACGCTTCCTTCGTCTCGTTCTGCAGTTCGTCCACGCCCCTCTCCTTTAATCCTTTGCCTCTAAACTCTAAACCAAACTCGACAAGCAGGCCTGAATTTTTGTCGCCGCCATGTCGCGGACCCGCTTGCCTCAGTTGAGACTTGTCAGCCTCTATAGCTCTGCTGCATCCCAACAGCTCGACAAAGAAAACTCTTACTTCGAGATGCGCTCGCGATCCTCCCGCTCCTTTGCTGAGCGCCGAAGGAACTCGGCTCGGCTTTCGCCGCCTGAGAAGTGAAAACCCCGAACACTCTGCAACACGGACGCCTCAGACTGACGCTGCCGAGACCCTTTTACCAACACGGCTGCCATCCGGTAGGCGAATGTGAGTAGCTGTTGTCCTTAAACCTGACAAGCCACCCAAAAAACACGAAGCCTGCGGCGAGCTATAAGCACAAGCAACAGAAAAACTACGACTCACGATAACGACTAGTTACCAAGCAGCAGAAGCTGTGGCAGCAGCAACGGCAGGAACAACAACTACAACAACACACAAGTAAAGCAAAGCAAACAAAGAAACAAAACAAACAAACCGACACAAACAAACGAACGAAAAACAAAATCGCAACCACAGCAGCAACAACAACAACAACACCAACACAGTGCCTATAGCATAGGCCTGTATAGGGTTGGAATGGTTTGCAGACCTTTTTCACTGTTTTCAGCATATTTCCATGGATTTTGTGGTATTTGCAAGGACTTGGTGTGTATTTGCAAGGACTTGGTGTGTTTTTTCCAAGGAGTTTGTGTGCATTTGCAAGGCGCTTGTGTGTACTTGCAAGGATTTTGTGTGTATGTGCCACGATTTTGCGCGTGTTTGAACGGATTTTTTATTTCTATGGGTTTGTAAGAATTTCCGAAGACTTGTGACGTATATCCGTTGATTTTGTGTGTACTTGCAAGGTTTTTGCGGATTTTGTTTGAATGCCCATGGATTTTGTGTGGTTTTGAAAAAAGATTTTGTGTGCGTATGTCCAAAGCATCAGACGTGGATCTGAGTGCCTGGGACCAAAGTCAAAGCAGCAGACGTGGATCAAGCCCTTCAACATCACATAAAACCGGTCAATCTCCCCTCAAATCCTTGTTGAACCGTTCGATATCTAATGCAAACCTTTCAAAATTCCAGACAAGCCCTTTCAAAACCCATGAGAACCCTTCTGGATGTCGTAGATTCCCATAGCTGTGGGGGAAATGTCATGTAAGGGGGGGGGTTCAAAACAACAGGCGGGGCTCCAGTCTCTGTCTCTACGACAGGGTAGAGACAAAGGCCCCATTGAAATCAGGACTTTGTCTCTACCCTGCGGAGACAAAAACTGGAGCCTCGTCTGTTGTTTTGACTCCCCTCCTTTACATCAACCACCCAGCCTACACCGCATTTCTATCATGGGGCAGTTGCTGTGTAAACCATGGCTAGCATTCCCCAAGACTCTACAGACACCCTATGCGGTCGCCGGAAGCATTCCCAATTGCTTCTTATTAACAACAATTACGGGCTGCGGTTTTTGTCTGTACCAACCGCAACCGCAACCGCGACCATGACTACGACCACGACCACGACAACGACTACGCCGACGACAACAACAACAACAATTATTATTGGACGCTGAGCGAGCGGGCTCTGCTCATTGCGGGCGTGTGAGACTGCCTTTGCACCTGAACAAAGGTCTGAGAGCAGAAATGCTAAGGGCCTGGGCCTGAAAGCGCTGAAACAGGCTACCGTGAAGAGAGCTACCCTACAAGCTAACTCAAAAGCCGGTTCATGCGTCTCAGGCGTGGGTGAGAAACCCTCCGTCACCCTCAGTGTGGACTATGGCGTCCCATGTCCACGGACCGATGATTGATGAGCCGTACCCCCTCGGGACCGTCACTCAGAGTGCCTGTTGCGTGGCGTCCCACTCATGGTCACTCTCAATCAAAGGCGATGGGCCGTAAGGTCGCAAAGGTGATGAGCATGTGGAACGGCTGCTAGTGCTGTTATCTGAGGCCGCTCCGCTTTTGTGGGCAAGCAGATTGCATCGGTGAACGATGTGGCACACCCTGGCGGTAAGCACACTGTGCCTAATAAGGCTAACCTTATTCGTAAGAGGCGTACTCCCCTCCAGAGGCCAGGCTTGCCGGCAATGGCTTGGGGGCCTCGGACAACCCCCCATTCTCGAGCCGAGAATGGGGGGTTGCAAAACCTTGATTTTTAGGCCTCGGACAAACCCCCCTTCTCGAGCCGAGAATGGGGGTTTGTAAAGCCGATTTCAGCCATTGGTCAGCTGTGTTGCTGACAGGCGTTGCCTTTCTGGGAAAGCAGCGAGCGTTGCCCGACTAGCATGACAGGTATAGGCCGCTATTGCACACAAACGCTGAGTAGTGGAGCTACGTCAGCTGTACGACTTGAGCAGCAAAACTGAACAACAGCGTTCCTGCTCCCTGCCGTGTAGGCAGGTCGGTCCCACAGAGCCAGTAGGTCGCCCCCTTCCTGCAAGGGGAAGTAGGGGCCCCTGGCCTCAGGGGAACCCTCAGCTTAATCATCTGAAACTTGGACTGGCATAGGGCCAGCCTCCGCTGTGTGCGGTATTGAACCAAGTCGCACGAACAGCACATAGCAGCCGTGGCGTGCCTGCCTGAGATCTGAATCTGAGGCCTGAACCGACGGACGACCATCGTCCGTGCTGAGCCAAGGTTGATCGGGGTTGCTCCTCCAGAGGGAGCGATAATGTCCACTGTGCGGGGTGTCACCTATGTGGAAGATACAGGACTGAACCCATCCTTTCTCTAGTTGTACGGAGCCCGTCGGGGCCCACTGCGAGAGCTGAAGGGGGTGGTGCAGACCAGTGACAGCATAGCTGAGCTTGCGGCCTTCAACAAATCGCGCCACTGTGAGAACCACCAGTCGTTGCTGCCCTCGAAAGGCGGTGTGCACCGGCTGGCCAGACCACCGAGAGAGCAGCTCCTGAAGTGCATGGGATCCACCTGTCGTTGGAGCTGGCAGCAAAGCGAGCGGACCTCCCGCATCGGTGACCTCAGTAGTGTTTACATCCCTGACTTCCCAGGGTCGTGCAATCGGAAAGGCGGTAATGCCTGCAAATAAGGCCACTAGAAACTCCGAAGCATCTTGTTGTTGGCCATCATAGCGCCAAGCGGGAGTAAGATGGCGAAGCGTGAAAGAGGCAGTCAGGGTGAAAGGAGAACCAGAGACAGAATCAGCCACTTCCTGATGGAGGGAGGTGCTTGCCCCTCCGTGCTCCAGCAAGATGCACGTCGGCACCAGGGCCGAAAGCGTTGAGTTAACATAGCAGTAGTTGGAGATGTTGCGCAGCGAGCGAGGAGCAGCGAGCGCGCCGTCCTTTGATTCTACTGTCCCTGACTTCGACAACAACAACAACAACAACAACAACAACAACAACAACAACAACAACACCAAACAACAGCAAACAACCGACAACCAACAACCAACAGCCAACAGTCACAGTTACAGCCACAGCCACAACCACAACCACAACAGCGACGACGACGACAAGAAGAAGAAGAAGAACAACAACAACCCAGAACGAGAAACAGAACAAGAACAAGAGCAAACAATCGTCACAACAGAAACCCCAATGGCAGCGGCATGCAAGTGTTGGCAGCTGCAGGCACAAACAGCACTGCTGGGTATCACGTCATGCTTGGCTCCCCCCCCTTTCCGACACTCTTCCTGCATTGCAGCAATTCTCCTGATCGCGTTTGTGTCTGCCAAACCCTACTGCCGCCCAAGGCCGGGCGAAGGATCTGAAGAATTAGAATTGGGATGAATTGGGGTTAAAGGTAAGACACTGAGGTTCGCAAATTCATCCCTCGCGCTCTCTTCAAGCCCAAACGTCAAACTCGCAAAGCTTGTGGCTTCCAAGCTGCGCCGGCCGCCCCGCCCGGCAAGGCTGACCTGCCAGTATCTAACATTTACACACTCTCACAGGCCGACACCTGCACCTGCCTTGGGGCCAGATCCTCCATCGAACATGGCCGGTGGAAATGCGACTTCAACGTCCCTTCCACTGTTTCCAGGGAGATACTGCCTCCAATACACTTCGAATGCTATGGTCTAATGCAGCCAGCAAAATGGCACGTGTTGTGCGGTGGTTTGGAGCTGCAGCGCAACTCACCTCTGACCTGCAAACCCCTTCTGACGTGCCGTGGTGCCGAGTCAGCCAGCGAATCTGGAGCCAAGAAAAAAGCTGAAGTACGACGACGGAATCGGGCAAAGGCGGACACAGTCACCCTGCGATTTAATCCATCAATACTCACGCACGCAGTACAATGTGACGTTGCAGCTGAGAGCAGCACCGATCCGACGCAACCCTGACCTCAGAACATACTTTGAATGGTCAGTCATGATCCACATGCTCGCGTTTTTGTCGGCACTGACCCTCTGCGACAGTGACTCCGGCTCTCGACGATGCTGGCGACGAGCTTGGGGGTGGGGGAAGTGCCTGAGCCCGTGTTCACAGCACAGAGTCATTCATGCAATATCTGAGGTCATGCCGCAATCGTGGCAATGGCAGCAGGAAGCAATTCCGGGCCAGTGATAACACAGGGAGAAGGTGCAAAATCGTCTCAAGCTTGGCTTGATGCGACCTGTTCGAAGCCAGCCTGCCCAACACTGCACTGAAGCGCGCTGCTTCGTTTTGACGCAACCCAAGCCAGACACCCTGGAGTTATGATGCACACTCGCCTCTTCCTCGTCATCATCCCCTGTGTCCTCTGCAGATGTTCTGCAAAGTGTCTCGGCGGTGGTGATCAAACTACATGCCGCAAAAGGTGCAGAGACATGTGGTGGATCTCGTGTCCTCGTCTTCTTCACCTAGGCCTGAAGGACAGCGGATGTGTCCGGTCTTTTGACATATTGTATGATGTCTGGCAACTCTCAATGCCTACTGTCACCTGACCACTTGATCAGTCATCGGCCAAGCGCCTTCATCGACGAGCTGCTCCAGCCAGGTGAGCCTCAGCTCACACGGAAACCCTGCCGATTCCCCTGCGAACAGCCCGGTCAGCAACACCTGCTCTCAGTTGCGCACACAACACACGATCCCGCATAAACACAAATAGGGACAAGGCATTGCAGAGGCCACTTCCTCGCCGGTTACGAGCATCTCTGGGTCCTACAGGTCGAGAGCTTTCGCTTCGCCGCTTCGCCGCTTCGTTGCCGAAAGGTCCTCAGGGAGCTGCCGGGCCTGCTTGCCTTGGCGGCTGCACGGCGCTTGAGCGGCGGGACTTTCAAGCTTCTCACACCTTCAAGCACTCCTTCAAGCCTTCTCCTGAACCTTTGATTGAACTCTTTTGGAGGCGTAACCTCAGCTTCATCCTGCAGAGGCCGTGATTTTTGCTTCGTCACCGCCTTACAGGCCAGGCGTAACTTGAGGAGCCCGGCACAAGAAGAAACCACGGCCATTGATCTTCGCTACCAAGCATTACGTCACTATGCTTTGCCACTGTCTCCTTCCCAACTTCCACTGCCGACGAAGTGGAATTTGAGTCCGATTTGCTGGTATGACGACCCGGAATGCCGGCATATCGCGGCATATCGCAGAAACTGGCTTCGACAGTCAAGGGTGCTCTGGCTTGGTGCAGCCTGATTGCAGCTCAACCCACTCCTGGAAGAGGAAACCACTCGAGAACTTCCGAGGCCCGGGCGCCAAAACGCCTCACCCTCGGCCCCTGTCAGGGCTGTCGTGCGGCCAATGAAGTACCTGCGGGGAAGCGTGTAAAAGCGTAAAGCACTCCCCAAAAAGCACAAGCTGTGCTGCTGTGCCGGGCCTTAGCTCCTTCACGCTGAAGGAGGACCTGCCCTGTGACACCTGCAAAGCAAAAAAAAACTAGAAGACAATTGGCCCGAAAGCATCATCAGCGAAGAGTGTTGCGCTACGTCATAGAATCCAGTGTATAGGGTCATAGAGTCACCGAGTCAAAAGCACGGAGTCGGAATGTCACATAAAGTCAAGAGTCGTACAAGTCATAGTTCATAGAGTCATCGAGAAATAGAGTCGAGTACATGTCAAGCACAAGTCATAGTTCAAAGAGTCATAGAGTCATATAGAGTCATAGAGTCACAGTGAGACAGAATCATAGAGTCATAGTGTTATAGAGTCATAGCGTCAGAATGAGAAAGAGTCATAGAGCCATGGAGTCATCTATGTACCACGCACTTGACTTGATGTAGTTCACTCTATGAACACGAATGTTCAGGCTTAGCGGGTTTAGGGCATAGTCCAACATGACGCAGAAGTCTTCCTTTCCTAGCTCCGGAACCTCACTATATAGACATCCCTGATTACTGTGGTTTCAACGTGACTCTATGACTCTATGCATGGTCACTTTATGTCGCAGCAGTAGCAGTAGTAGTAGTAGTAGTGATAGTAGTGGTAGTCGTAGTAGTTGTAGTAGTAGTCGTCGTCGCGTAGCCGCAGTCGTAGTCGTAGTAGCAGTAGTAGTAGTAGTAGTAGCAGTAGTAGTTGTTGTTGTTGTAGTTGTTGTTGTGGTACTAGTAGTAGTAGTAGTAGTAGTAGTAGTAGTAGTAGTAGTAGTAGTAGTAGTAGTAGTAGTATTCTTGTGTAGTAGTGGTAGTAGTAGCAGTAGTAGTAGTAATAATAGTTGTAGTAGTGGTAGTGGTAGTAGTAGTACTAGTACTAGTTCGAACACTCGACAACGCCAATCTCTGTGAAGGGTTGCAAGTTTCACCTCAATGCACATCAAAAGTAATAACTTTACCTCGCGTTCGAACACTCGACAACGCCAATCCCTGTGAAGGGTTGCAAAATTCATCTCAATGCACATCAAAAATTGCAACTTTACCTCGCGTTCGAACACTCGACCACGCCAATCCCTGTGAAGGGTTGCAAAATTCATCTCAATGCACATCAAAAATTGCAACTTTGCCTCGCGTTCGAACACTCGACCACGCCAATCCCTGTGAAGGGTTGCAAAATTCATCTCAATGCACATCAAAAAATTGCAACTTTACCTCGCGTTCGAACACTCGACCACGCCAATCCCTGTGAAGGGTTGCAAAATTCATTTCAATGCACATCAAAAAATGCAACTTTACCTAGCGTTCGTGCATTCGACCATGCCCATCCCTGTGAATGGTTGCAAAATGCAGTTGAGCTGCGCCCAAACCCTGTGAAGGGTTGCGCGGCGCCCGCAAAATGTGTAACTTTACCTTGGGAAGGGTGCGAAGCGCACCGCAAAATGTGTAACTTTACCTCGCGTTTGAACGCCCGAGGAGGCGAATCCCTGGGAAGGGTTGCGCCGGGCGCCTAAAATGTGTAACTTTACCTCGCGTTTGAACGCCCGAGGAGGCGAATCCCTGGGAAGGGTGCGAAGCGCACCGCAAAATGTGTAACTTTACCTCGCGTTTGAACGCCCGAGGAGGCGAATCCCTGGGAAGGGTTGCGCCGGGCGCCTATAATGTGTAACTTTACCTCGCGTTTGAACGCCCGAGGAAGCGAATCCCTGGGAAAGGTTGCGCGGCGCGCCTAAAATGTGTAACTTTACCTCGCGTTTGAACGCCCGAGGAGGCGAATCCCTGTGAAAGGTGCGAAGCGCACCGCAAAATGTGTAACTTTACCTCGCGTTTGAACGCCCGAGGATGCGAATCCCTGTGAAGGGTTGCGCCGGGCGCCTAAAATGTGTAACTTTACCTCGCGTTTGAACGCCCGAGGAGGCGAATCCCTGTGAAGGGTTGCATTCCCGATGGACGACGACGGTGCCACCCTTGGCTTTAGAAGAGAGAATTAGATACCGAGATGTAAAGAGTAAGTCATAGAGGCATAGAGAGTCAGTCATAGAGGTCAAGTAAGTAAGTAAGTAAGTAGAGTGGAGTAAGTAAGTAAGTCGTAAGTAAGTCGTAATAGAGGTCAAGTAAGTAAGTAAGTATAGAGATAGCATAACATAGAGTCAAGATCAAGTGTCAAGTAAGTAAGTAAGTAGAGTGAAGTAAGTAAGTAAGTAAGTAAGTAGAGTGAAGAAAGTAAGTAAGTAAGTAAGTCGTAAGCATAACATAGAGTCAAGTATCAAGTGTAGAGTCAAGTATCATAGAGTCAAGTGTCAAGTGTAGAGAGTCAGTCATAGAGGTCAAGTAAGTAAGTAAGTAGAGTGAAGTAAGTAAGTAAGTAAGTCGTAAGCATAACATAGAGTCAAGTATCAAGTGTAGAGTGAAGTAAGGTATAGAGTCAAGTAAGTTGATTCTATGTCTGTCATCTATGTACTCATCCACCCGGCTCCGCCCGGAAGAACCCTTCGCGATGCTTTCGGGAAAAAGAAACCCAGCCATGCCCAGCCGCTCATCCCTTGGAGCTGCACTGCTGACTGCTGAAGAACGGTCGCACTGCGTCTTGAAAGTGGCCGCAGTGTTCTTGCGAGAAAGGCTGCAGACCGCAACGCCCAGAAAAGGTTTGAGCTAGGATGGTCGGGTCAGTGACTAGTAGTGGCCCTGGACCATTACAGGGATGGATTGGTTCAAGCAGCTGCACGCACAAGTGTTTTCGGCGAGCCGCATCCTTCACGGACAGTGCCCTAGGCCCTGGGAGTCTCAGCTTGCTTCAGTCGCATTCACGAGCTTATGCAGTTTCGCCTCGATGGACTCGAGACGCTCGGAGAAGTGTAGTTGCTGCTGCCTTAGCTGGTGTTCCAGGCTTTGCAAAGATGCCAGCTGCTGCAGCCGCACGGTCGTCTTCTGGAGCGACTTTTGCACTTCTTTTTCGACCATATTGACCTTTCGTTCAGCATCCACGCCCTTCTGGCTGTACTTCTCCTCCACGTGATGCCAACTCGACATGTTCGATTTGAATCCGGCAATGGTCGAGGCCTGCTTCGCAACTGCTGTACGTAAATCAGGCAGCGTGTGGTCCTGCACTTCCGAAACTTGGTCGGAAAGAAGTGTCCATGACCGATTCGCCTCCGCGCTGTCCTTCTCCAGTTTCTGCAATTGCTGCGCCGTGCGGTTCGCACGCAACAGTTCCGGCCTCATCGTCGAGTCCAATCTGGTCATTTCCTCTTGCATCTTCTGCGAGTGATTTCGCTCTGCTTCGTCTGCAAGCTGCAGGGCCGACACCTGTTCCCTCACAGCTTGCATCTCGTGTTCCATCTCGTGAAGCCGATCTCGAAGTTTGGAGGACAGTTTCCCCTCGTCTTCCTCAACCTGCGTCATCTGGTTACTGATGAGATTCATCTTGCCAGATAACTTGTGCTGATCTTTGCGCAGGCCGGCATCCCTGGCCTCGGCCCGGACCAGCCAAGTAGAAATGTTGGACACATTGGCTTGAAGTTCGGTCATGTAGCCGAGCCACTTTGACAGGTTGGAAATATTGCTGTGCAGCCGGTCCATATCCCGATTCGCAATGTCCAGGTGATTAACAAGATATTCGTGTTCTTTCCTCTGCTGCGAATTGACACTGCTGACGATGTGCTTGGATTTACGTTCCAACGAAATGTACTGACCTTCTGAACTCTTGACGTCGTGCTCCAGAAACTGCACTTCTGTCCTGCTCATCCACCATAAACCTGTGGTAAAAGCAAACAGAAGCACAGGGAAGAACACCGGAGAGGGTTGAACCACTAGGGCCCAGCATCGACGGCTCCGGCCAGATCGGACCTGTGGCACACGTTCTGCAGAATCCGTATCTGCTGTCATCAGGTCCCAATACTCCTCAATCATTGTAAGCTTATCCAGGCGCCCAGATAGCTGCTGCTGGTCCGAGGTCTTTTGTTGAACCAGCGAGTTCACTTTTTCCTCAAGATCTTTGAGCCGATCTTGCAGGGAGTCCACATCCCTCTTGACCTTTTCCGTCCGATTCACAACATTCACCACCATCGGGCAGGCCGCACTTGTGGGTCGCTGAAGGGCTTCCTCAGAAAGGGGCCAATTTGCCACGTTGTTCATTCTCCACTCGCCTGGGCATCCAAGCCACTTCTCCACAAGTTCGTTCAAGTCTGCGAGGCCGCCCCCTGACAAACAGACGTCCCTCACCTCGCCCTTCTGAACCGGCTTGGGTGCTACGCGACAGGAACGATCGATCTGCTCGCCCAAAAACCTCAGCCTCACATGAAGAAGCTTAGACGAAGCCGGCTCCAGATGGGCTCTCATGGCGCCGACTCCGACTCACGCTTTAGGCTTTAGGCTTCGCTTCCCGAAACTCGCACTGCCGGCTTACCTGACCTAACCCATCTAATACCAGCCATGCCATCAACAACTGCATGCTGCATACCGATGTAGGCAACTCTTAATGAAGTATGCTGGAGCATATAGACAACATATGGCAAAGATGTAAGAATTCTTTGCTTGCTGGACAGCTGCTACGGAAGTTGATGGAGGCTCAGAGCTGCTACAGTGGGTTTCTATGGCAGCTGTTTCGTGCGAAAGCTCCTACAGCACACCGCTTGCCTGGCGAGCGGCCATGTCCAGGAGGCAGGTGCGCAGGAAGCCTGGGCCGGGCCCAAGCCCCAAAGACTGTGCGCGCGCGCTCTCTCAGCACAGCAAAAGCCGAGTCTGCCGGCGAAAGCCGATGATTGCCTCCTCCTGCAGGCATTCGCAAAAACACGGCTCGAATGCAGATTCTTTTCAACGCACTGCAACTCTTGCTATCTCGAGAGCGGGGGGAAATGCGAGCGCTCTCTGCTGTGCAACACCCGCTGCTGATCAGCAGCAAGATGGCTTGAGCATGTCAACGATTGGGAATGTGGCGCAGGGTGGCCACATGAACGGAGGCACAGCGAGGGATGTCATTGCTCATCCGGACAAGCAAAATCCTGGTAGATCCACTCGTAGCATGTCCAACACAATTTGTCGCAGACCTGTCTGTGCCATGTCGGTAGTGTCGTCCTGCGCCCGCGAGAGAGTGCTGCGCAGTGCCCCCCGAGCACGGAGGATTTCCTGCAAAGCTGCTTCTGCCCCGTGCCATTGCTTGAGCAACTCCCCCGTCCTCCATGCCTTTCCAGAACTGGAGGAAACCTACCACACCCTCGGAGTCTGGCTGCATATAGGTTTGCCTAGGCGCAGGCGCTGCCAGGATTGACTCAACATAGAGCCGAAGCCACAAGGCCAGCAAGGCCAGTGCAGGATCTCATCGACGGAGCTGTGTCCAAAGTCACCCAGGTGTCCCTGCAGCTCCCGCTCCAGTACCACCTGCAGCGCCAAAAAAACAAGCTAAACCCTTCGACGCGGCCTCAATTATCAAATCTGGCTGCCTTGAGAACATCTACTGGGATAGCTCCATCGCCACCAACCTCGGCAACAGTTTGAGGACGCTCTGCTGAATGAAGCACCCTCGCAGATTCGGTTGGCCCACCTGCGGCCCAAGGCCTGCCGGAACACATAGGCGCCACAGAGCGATGATCGCTCGAGTGGAGTCCAAAGCCATGGGTTCCACGATTGGTGCAGGCTCTAGCTAATTTCGGCATATGCCAGGTAGGCTAGGTCTACGTTTCTGGGTGCGATGGCTGCGGGCTCTATGGCCCGTGGCCGCTCAGGCCTTCTAGCTGGTGTCTGGCTGCTGCTCAGTGGTCATGACAGGTATCGTCACAAACCTCCTGCAGGGTCCTTTGTGCTCACACATGCTCAAATGCACTGCGACGCATGACTCGTCCTGCGGCGTTGGCATGGCCATAAGACCATGCTTGTAGCTGCAAGGACCCTGTAAAAAAGACCCCGGAGAGCCGTGAACTCCAACCAGCACCTGCGGACAAGCCTCGACGCTTCGCAAGAACACTTTATCTGCAACTTGCCTAAAGCGACTTCTGAAATGCGCAACTGTACAAAAGAGCCAGCATTGCCGTCTTGCATCAGAGGATGGCCCCCGGCATCTGCTGCGGCTGTTGCTATACTGGCTCTGAAAAACAGGTGTCCCGGCCCTAGAGCAACTCTTCCCTAACGAGCATCTCCTGCCCGTTCATCCGTGAGAAAACCGGTGTGTCTAGGGACTGCCGAACACGAGACACGTTTGTACTAACTGCCCACTCTCACCTGCAGCCAGAACCTGCAATGTCATCATGTAGATGGCTAGTAAATTGTAACTCGGTTTAAGGAAGGCTTCAAGAGGCAGGTCCAAACAAGTGTCCGGCGTCAAGGGCACGACCCGCCACTGCTCCAACACCAGAGGCACCATTTATCACCACAGCAGCCACAGGCAGGGTGCACATTACAAGACTTGTCCATCTTATCGAGGCCCGTGCATGCTGTTCTGAGAAATGCGGACAAAAAAAAGGTTGCACGGAACAATCTCCATGGCTCGGAAGCACATGACTGGGTGCACATTCCGTGGAACCAAATCAGACAGTTCAACTTTCCACTTCCCGGCCTTCCATCATCTCATGAATCCCTGCCCGCATTTCGGTCGTATTACCCTGTTGCCAGAGATCATCTGTCTGATGTTCTTCTGCATCGCGGTACTGGTACCAATAGGAAACGGTGCACAGAGACTTCAACCTCATCGCCTCGTCTCTCGTTTAGCACGCCATGAACTGTTCTCTTAGGCCAGGAACACCTCACAGACCTTCAGCTGCAAATCCTCCAGTCGCTATTGCTCCTGTTGGTCCTTTTCCCCGATCGGCAAAACGTGACATAACGTAACAGATGTGGACCGGCTCTGAGCTGTGGTCTCAGACCAGTTCATGCTGTGGATCCTCGGGCTTGTGAAGGAGCTGTAGCCCGAAAAAGCGTTGCATCTGCACAACAGTCAAGTCCTCAAAGCTGGCGTACACAGCAAACTCACGCAATTCGAACTCAGCGCTCGATGTCTTGCCGGTTGCACCCTGCAGTCGTGTTCTGGTTGCCCATGTCCCCGGTCTCGCCATGCGGGCGCAGGCATGCGGCATGACCACGCCAAGGGGGGACCCGGACAGGTGAGACTCTTTCGACAGCTGCACCTTCGTCTGACCACACTTTGTACCATCAGGTGTCATCCAGTCCACCGCTGCCTGAATATCGGTGTCTGCGTTCGGCACGATTGGACCCCAGTAAATAGCAAGATGGATGTCTCGTGCAGAATGGCTGGTGACCGGAATTACGCTGACGTGGCCATCAAACTCGCCTCGCTCCCCTCTCCAACCTGTCCCGACCCTAGTGGCCAAAAGAGCCACCCCCAGGGTGCTGGTGCCGACGAGGCTTTGCAGTGCTGGCATCGGCACTGCAAACCTCTCTGAAAGCAGAACTGTCAAGTCACGAGATCCACGAATTTGCAGCAGCCAGGTCTCTGGCGACCACCTGCCGGCCCGAGCGGGTGCCATAGCTGACTTGCCAGACCCCAGCCGACCCAGCAAGTGGATGCGCACTTCATCGCATGACTCGCCCATCGCACCGGCTGGACACGTCCAGTTCTGCCCAAGTGTTAGCCCTTCTAGCTGAGCCCACATCGTGAAGTTATCCTCTAACCAATGCAGAAAGCCTTGCCATGTCGGCTTCCCTGTGTTTAGCTCCCTCTCTTGATTGAAGTCGTCCAGTCGGCGGCATAGCTCAGATGTGGGCTCGACTGTTACGTCGAGAAACTTCCTTGCAAAAAACCTAGGCTGCAGAGCATCCACGAGACTAGCCAAGTCTTCGCGGGAAAACACATTGGGACTGCGAGTGCCTATTTCATCGTGCGTGCCATGGGTTTGCCGTTCCAGCAGCACTGCAGGGATATGGTGTAGTGTCATACTCACGTGATGCCGGCAGAACCGAGAGTTGAGAATAGCCGTCTGGAAGAAAGCTTCGTCCGGCTGGTACAAGAGAAGGCAATCCTTCCAAATTTCGTGCATGGCAGAGAACGGCCTGTCTATTTCGAGAATCAGATACTTGGCAAAGTCGAAGGTCAGGGCCACCCACTCGCTCCCACGGGCAAAATGCATACCAAAAGAAAGAGGCTTGTGCATTCTGAGCGTTGAGACGAAACTATATGTAGCTCCGGCGCATGCAGTGCCCAGATGCCGCGCGCAGGTAGATGAGGAGCAAGCATCCAAGCCCACAAAGTTCAGGCCCTTGTGCAACCATAGATAATGCTGCAATGCATGGCGTGGGGCCACAGGATAATCAAACTCACTTAACTTTACGAAGTAATCCCAGGGCAACTCTTCACCTTTGGTGGGTCGCAGCTTTAGGAGCCACCTTAGGCCCAGAATGCTGATCCGGAGCAGATCGCTGCTGCCCTTTGTCACGTCAACTTCTGAAAAAGTATGCACGCTCTCTGCGAGTCGAGAGCCTGCCACGAAGCGGTCCAGTTCAGTTTTGATGGCCGGAGATTTGCGGTCAATGTGGATCAAGTAGACATGGCTCGAGTCATAAATGCGATGCAACAAGCGTTGCACGTTTTTCACGGCCCGGTGAGCGACGATGAGAAAGGCGATGCGCAGCTTGCCAGGCACGTCTAGCCTCCAGGGAATCTTCCTTGAAGCCTTCGTACCTTTTCTGGAAGAGGCGACGCTGTCCACACCGCAATCAGAAGCAAACGCTGTCCGTGCAGCCTTTTGTCCTTGAATGGGTCGCGCAATGCACTCAAAGTACTGCAAGCCTTGCTCGTCCGACAGGTTCGCGCAAGTATTGAATGATTGCGAATCTTCGATCAACTGGCAATAGAACTGTCTCAGATGTTCCTGGCATTCGATGGGCGCTGACTTCAAGAGCTTCTTCAGGTCTCTTTGTGCTGTCTTCTTGCACTCCTTCGCTGAAATCACCGGCTGTGCTAGGAGCATGCTGACCTCGGCATCTCACTTGCACGCCTTTTCCCGTGATTTCAATTTTTCCTTGCTGCCAGGCGGCATTGTCTTTGGCTGCCACACGATGCTTCAAGAGCGCATGCAACGCTGAATCTGCACCTCCCCATGCAAAGCAAGCATAGGAGCATAGGACACAGGAAGTAGACTCCCTGCTGATGTTTCTACGTGCTGACACGGGCATGACAAATTGTGCATGCTGATAACTGCTCCAGCCCACCGGCTGCAAATCGCAGCAGGACCAATGAAAGCACTCCAATGCCAGCGTTGGCGGAGAAATGCGGCAGTCTCATGCCGTGCCAAAATCGGACAGCATGGCAGAAAACCATCAAGGATATGTGCGGCTACCTTGTGGAGCCAAACAGCCGAGGAGGCCACGTAACAAATATACATGATTGCCAGCACTCGTTTTATCCTACATTGCAAGATCTAGCTATCTAGCATTCCAAATCTGGCGGTCACCAACACCCACTCCGAGGACGTCCCAGGACTCTGAGGCATCCAACGGGCCTGTTTCACAGCACTTGCCGTCAAAAGGGTGTCCTGCAGGGTTCTGTCGGAGTTTGCCAAACACATGTAGCAGATATTAGCGGCGGCCGATCGCTCTCTGTAGCCGACATGCCACACAGGAGCAGACCATCTGCGTCCAGACTCGCAGTGAGTGCTTTGGGCGGCAGCAGGTACTTCTCTTCGTGAGCTTTGGCCGAGAGAACACCGACTTTCAAGTCTGAAATCGACACTTCTTTCTCACAGTTTGAAAGCTGCTTCTTCAACATTAGCTCCCGAGTCTTTGGAGCTGCAAGCCAGTGGTCCTGGCGCGGCTATTGGCCTGGTGCTGCACCAGTGGTCATCTTCAGGCGCAAGATGTGGAAGGGGCCGTGCTTGGTAACGTCCCTGCCTCCAGGACGACAGGTCTGCTTCCAAGGTGTCCGTCCGAGTCTCCTCAAAACCTTGTTCCTCTCCCAGCCTCGCATCGCGTGGTGCAAAGCACTGGAGGTGACATAGAGCCAGCTATCCTCAGCACGCTGCGTTTCAGCTGCAACCCTCACCTTTGAAGTGCCACATTGAGCATGAACCCACCTCTGTGAATCAGATTTGTCAGTCACAACATGCCTTCCAATAATTTTGCGCCCAAGGTTCGGGACCAAAGCTTAACCCATCCGGCCACTGCCTCTGGCACAACAGCGCAGCAATTCGGCAAGCACAGCATGCCTTTTTTGCACACACCATGTAACGACTGTACATGCAACGACTGTACATGCATTCGGCAAGAGCATTTCCAGCCGCTCTGACACTGTCGTGATGCTGCGTGAAATCAATTGACATGGAGTGCAAGAGTCGACAATCACACTCGAGGCTTAGGCTGAAAGTAAAATGGTCAAATCTCATTTTGCCCTGCACTTACAGCTCATTCGGAATGGCAACATGGCAACACGGCAATACTGGTGTCGTCGGCGGGCCAAACATATTTCCAGTCGGATATCTCTGGCCGGCCTGATTTACACCTGTGGCTTCAGAGAGTCGTAAGCTGACCTTGCCACGCTGTGTGTATCCAGCCCTTCTGTTGTCAAGCTGGGCCTTTGTGGTTTAAACCGCGACAGGCTTGGGAAAGCAGATAGGGAAGTGCGCGAGAGACATGGGGAGGGGAGGAGGTACCATGTGGGCCGAGACACAACTACCACATGGGAAGTGCCAAGTAAACTTCAGCTGCCCTGAGGCTGCTTGTCGTGTGCTGCCACAAACTATGCTTGTGGATTGGCAGCTGCCCGGGATGCTTGTATCACGACAGAATTGCGGTCTCAGGTCGCTGCAGATGCTGCTGGCTCCGGTACACAACCTGCACACATCTCGGCGATGTGGACGGCACCCTGCTTCACTTCACGACCCAGCCTTGATGGACCTGGCAGGCGTGATGGCTACAACGGCACTGTGCTCGAAGGCCGTCAGCAGAACGTTACCTGCAGCGCTCACATCGAAGACTGAGGTATTGAAGCAACAACCAACCTGCATCGTCTGTGCCAATCCCGTCAGAGATGGGCTTCTCTGCGTACCGCTCCACTGCCTCAACTGTGAAAGCAAGCTCGGCAGCAGGGTGATTTCCGACGGTATAAAAAGCAGCGCTGGCTCGGGGGGTGAACATCTCCCCTGCGTTTTTGACACTCTATGCATACGCGACATGGAGCCCGACGTGCATGTCGACAAGCCCCAAACGAAGCGTTCGTGTTTGAGGGTTCACGTTGAGGGGAAACAAAAACAAAAAACAAAACATGTCTTTGACGTCTTGCAAAGCGGTGGCTAGGTTTCCAAGAGTTTCTAAATAGTGCATTTTTTGTTGTTATTCTTGTGTTTTGTTTCTTGGGTGTTGTGTTGTTGGTTCTTTCGTCGTTGTCTCTTTTGTTGTTTGTGTATGTTTCTTTTTGGTGGGCTCATTCTCGATTTATTCACAATCCCGGGTGGCGTAGCTGGTCTCGCGGGTGGTCCAGAACCACGCGCTCGCCGAGCAGCAGCCTGCCTGGCCACGGTGTCCGCGCGCTTGTTCAGCGAGCGGGCCTGTGTCTCGGAGAAACGCCCATGAGCCGCCCAAGAGCCAGCTTCCCATGTCAAATACTCCCCGAAATCTGGGCCAGCAATGCAAGTGCCTTGGGCATCTGGGCTATCGCCTCGCCAGAAGCACCCGAAGCTCGTCTGATGGCGACGCAAATGTCGTGCGCCTCAGAAAAACAACGCATGGGTTGGAGTGGAGGCAACCCTCCCTCCATTTGCAACCAGAACGCCTGTATCATGAGTTTGGATAAGTTCTATACGCAGTTCCCGTTTATGGTGCGATGTTCTAGAAATCAAGCCTTGACGGTGTAAAAAGAAAAGCAGGGGGGTTTGGGGGGCACAGCCCCCCCCACTTGCAGACACCACGTCTTCATCACGGGTCCTGATGGGTTCTTTCTGCTGGCAGGAGGATACTTGAAGAGATTCATCACGGGTCCTGATGGGTTCTGCTTTGTTGGCAGGACGATGCTTGAAGCGATCTTGATCGTCTGTACTAATGATGTAAAACAAAATCCTGCATGACCCTAAGGACCCGAAACTATGGGAATTATGGTATATTCCTTATAATGGGTAATGCAGGATTTTGTGCAGCAACCGTCCGTAGCACATAGCAATGATTGGCATATGTCGCGTCTTCATTTCTTGTCTTCTTTTTTTGCTTTGGTTACTTATTTTATTGGGTTTGCTTTATTGAATCATTTCGCTTTTTATTTCTCTTTCGTTGCTCTCTCATTGTTCTTCCATGTTACTTTGGTTCTTCGTCGCTCTTGCTTTCTTTTTTCTCGTTCTGCTTATCTTTCCTGGTTTTTCCTTTGCTGCTTTCTTTCGTTATTTCTCTGTCTTCTGTTGTGTCTTTCGTAATATCTTTGTGTCTTTCGTTCGTTCTTTCTTTCGTTCTTTTCTTCTGTGTTTTTTTTGTTCAGTCTTTGTTTGTTTATTTCGTTCTTTCTTTCTGTCGTGCTTTATTTCCTTCTTTCTTTCTCTCTGTCCTTTTCTTTCTTTCTTTCTTTATTTCTTTCTTTCGTTCTTTCTCTCTTTCTTTCTCACTTTCTCCATTCTTGCCATGTTAAAACAGTTTAACTTGTTGATGCCTATTTTGCTTTTGTTGATGCTTATTTAGTTATTTTTAATGCCTATCCCCAGGAACACCGCGCTGCGCCTCGGAGCTCGCTCGAGACTTCTTGGTCGGAGCAGTGTTGTCCGCAAGTCCACTGGATTTCCAATCGTCGGTCCTCTCGGCAGTGGTGTCGTCAGAGGAACCCATGTTGTCATCAGAGGCCGTGGGGCCTGCCTCAACGCTCGGATTGGCTGAAGTCACAGTGCGAGTGGGCGCAACAGGGGCAGCGAAGCTCTGCTTGCGGCCCGCTTTGCGCTCCTTCTGCGAAAGCTTTGGTCCAAAGTGTTGCCACCACTCAGCTGGCAGCGCTCGGGCCTCGGATGGAGTATGGTTTCGCCCAAGCCGCGCGACCTCAAACTCACTGGACCCATCGAAAAAAACTCCGCCACGAAAGACCAGGCTGTGCCTCCTCGCCGCGGCATCTTCTCGCGAAGCTCGACCTGGCCAAAGCCACCCTGGGAGAGGAGGGCCTCGATCTGCTCAAAGCCCCATTCGTCGTCCGGTGTGACAGGGCGCCCAATGCTGAGGTTGTCGGACCCCCGGGTCAATCCAAAAGGAGCTCCGCGTGCTTGCTTGGCGCATCTGCTTGCGTAAGCCTCCCAAGTCTCGTCGGGCAGCCAGGCGACCCAATCAGTAGCGAGAGCTGGGATGTCAGGCAAAGAGTGGTTCTTGGTGAGGGGCTGCAGAAACCAACAACGATCGCAATGAGCAACAGCTCCACTTGCACCAAGAACGGTGGCGACCTGGGCCGCCGGCACACGCACCAAACCTTGAATGCCCATGAGGCGGCCAGCGGGGCCATCAACGAGCTCCCAAGCCCACGTGTCGTGAACTCGGCCACACGAGGCCTGGGCCCACTTCCTGAAAGATGACCCGGGATTTGCCTTGGCGTTTCCCCAGTGTCCATTGCCAAAGAAGCAAGCATCTGCATGCACCCGAAGCACATACGTCTCCCCGAGCAGCGGGGGCCTGAACTGGCAAAGCCTTAGCAGAGAGAGTCGGGGCCGCAACCGTTGGCGTAGGTGCCAACCCAAGCGTTGGCGACCCGGAGCTGATTTCGCCACACACCTGGCAGTCGATGTCCACTCAAGTTCCGAACAAGCCTCGCGAGACCTTCAAGACAACCATGGCAAACGAGGCATCCACAGGAGCAGCTTGCACGTAGGTTCTGAAGAGCTCGGGCTCGTCCTCAGTGGAGGGGTAGGCGAGGATGGGTGTGTCCTCGGCCGCCTCAAAGGCATCACGGCACGTTTTGACTAGCAAAGTCGTGGGCCCCAATCCTCGGAACGAGGCTGCCAGTCTGAAGGAGCTAAGGGCCCAGCAGCAGCGGTCTTCAAAGGACGGCCCGGCCCCGACGGTTCTGCCTCTTGGGTTCCTCTGCCCCAAAGCGCACAAGGCCGCACGCTGCTTGCCGGGCCCTGCGCCTTGCCTTTGCGGCGGGAGACCTGAGTCCATCCAGCCTCCGCCTCGGGAGCCTCAGCACCAAAGTCCTCCTGAGCATCCCAAGTATGAGCGTGCCCCGGCTGCCATGAACTGCAAGAGGCGCCGCCATAGCCGTAGTCGTAGTCCTGCGAGCCAGACCAGTCAACCCAGCCAGCCTCAGCCCATTGTCACGACGCGCCTGTCCTCCTCCGCCAAAAGCCTTGAGGGATCCTTGGGCCGCTGCCG